TAGGGAAAGGTTGTTGACAGTTGTTCACTGGTCCTTGTGGTTCAAAAACCTGGGGGACAGTATTTTAAAATATGTACTTTGGTGGGTGCTGAGTTTGATTATGAAAACTACAGAATCTCTGTCACAAAAAGTACACATGGAAGAGCCTCCTTTGAAGCTTGTGGGTATTTTATCTATTTCTTTCCACTTTTACAAACTTCATTCAGCCATGAGTAGTTCTCTGGGAAAGCAAAAAACATAAAGGGAGTTAGGCTGGAAATGTAGGTTTTAAAAAATAAGGGGCTTACAAGACCTGCCAAATTAATAAATGTTTTCAAGATTATTTTTCAAATGTCAGTGGAAGCAGTTTCCAGGTTTTTTGCTCAATATTTTCTTGCAGTGCTTGCAACCCAAACGCTGCTGCATTGTGTTAACACAGGTGAGCTGCAAAGAAGAACTGTCTCACCTCTGTTTTGGTTGTCCAAACTGTTGGAGATGCAGAAAATGAAAGCACTGCATGATTACTGAAAAGCAAACTTTGATCCTTAGAAGGATTACAATTTTAACAATGTATGATTCATTAGTAAGACTGTGTGGTATCTTTTAGAAGGAAAGGTGTGGTGTTGCTATCTTTGCCAGGGTATGTCTCAACTTAATTTTCTTTTAGATTAAGCGACTACCCATTTGTCTTAAAGTGCTTTGTGATTTGAGGGTTCTGGCCAGCATATCTTGCCTGTATTTCTTGCATGTTTCTGTTCAATCTTGCTGATGTTTATGTGGGCTGCACTAGCAAGGCCCGACAGAGGCCTTAAACAAAAATTTGTCTGGATCATCTCCTGATTAGCTTTTACCTTGTTACTCTACTTACTCACTAGCTCCAGCTTCCTCAGCGCTCCCAGGTTGTGTCCAAAGGAAATAAAAGCAGCTTTCCCCTTCTCTGCTACCCAGCTGTACTTCCCATTACCCTTGTGCATGACAATTCTAATGCCATCTCATGTTGGTGCATGAGACTATGAAGTGAAACCAGCCATCAGCACAGGAGGGCACAGTAGAAGCCATGATTTGGGGCACAGTTGCAAGTGCACAAAGCAAATGTGCTGAAGAACAGAGAAAAAACATTTTCCTTGCAATATGTGAATTTAGCATAATCTGTAATGTTATTTGGGACAACACTAAGTCAAGACATGTTCCAGGAAGGAATGTGTTATCTGTTGACAGAATCCCTTTAAATGTAATTAAAGTGAACCTAATACTGCCCCTTGAAAAATAACATTTAAAAAAAAAATCACTTTTAGCCAGCATGTTATTTTGATGTTTCTGCCCTGAAGATAATTTAAGGGTGAGCAGGGGAGTCCAATAATCCTTTCCAGACTTGGCTAAGGGGAGAGACTAGTCTCCCATGAACCAAAACCAAGCTTAAATGCAGAGGTGGAAAAGGAGCAGCACATGCTAGAAATTGGTCTGTTGCAATCTTCCCCCATGTCTTCCTGTTAGAGAAACTATTTCTATTGCCCAACTTTGGACAAGGTCCCACTTTCCCACATCCCAGTCTTCCACTCCCCTCCCCTCCCCTCTCTCCCTCCCCACCAAGAAAACTAATTGGACAAACAATTTCCCTCTGCTTTGGGCTAGAGGGTTACTGCCAACCTCCAACCAGCACTTCCAGAGAAACAAAAGCAACAAGACACAAATACAAGTACAGCAATGCCCTACCACAACCAGGCAAAAAAGCATTCATTGTCGTTCAGTAGACACCAGCTACTATCAAGGGATTGCTGAGGAAACCAGCTTGCAGATTTTTTTTATGGGGGAGTAGAAGACAAAACAGTTGATGCCACTTAGGAAGGCAAGCCCAGTCCCCAGGGATAGGGAAGATTGCTTTCTCTTGCTCTTTTTTTAAATAGCTTTCCCATTGTCTCTCTACCATCTCTCAGCTGCTGGCTTTGGTGCATTTGATAGCAAGACAAAAAGCAGCCAACATGAGGAATCCTGCACCTGGGCCAATAATCTCTAATGTGGTACAGCTGTAGCTGACTTTGCTGCATGTCTGCCCTGTATGCGTGGCTTTCTGCTCTTCATAGAGCAGAGTTGGGGATAGTCTGCTGGTCCTTGCAGGACCCACTCATGTCTCTTCAAATTTGAACAACTGTTTATTTCAGGGTCTGAAGATCACCCATACAATATCCGGGGTTTGAATGTTTACAAGCAGTCACTAGGGTGCTTGTTCCCCTACCTCCCCATTGTTGGGGAATTACTAAGCAATCTATGGACAACAAACCTGAAACAAGTCCCTCTTGGCATTTCCGTCCAACAAGAAAACCACAACAGCCAGGTCTGCCTCAGGTAATATCAGAGCACTCCTTGGCTTTTCCCACCTCCTCTGGTACTCGGCAGGATAAGGGACTCTAAAGTGTACAGTTAAAAAAAATAGGATTCTCTCTTTGGATGTTTAGTGCAGAAATGCCCTTTCAGCAAAGGGTGGCGCCTGCACTGGGAAGAAAGCTAAGTGCTGAGGTATGGAAGCTGGCACCTATTGCTTTGGTCCTTCCCACTGCCAGCATTTGAGCTCTGCTTAGTCCAGAGGGTTGCCACATTACAGTCTCCATCTAGAGAGCTGAAATTTTGGTTGTGGCTAAATGCCCTCTTGTCCTCTGGAGAAATAGAAAGCACTTAGAATGAACAAGGAGCATGTGTTAAACACAAGCTTTAGAGATGAGGGTGTGATACAGGTCAGCGGGGCATGGTGCCCCTGTTCCTGCTTCCTCAGCTGTTCCCATGTTCTATTTCTATTTTTGTCAGTTTAACAATATACTTCTTTTTAGAAAACCAGCAACAGAGGATCTTACGTGATCCAGAAGGTCCTCCTTTCCTCTAACAAGCTGATGGATCGGTTTGTCAGGGTCTCAGGATTGCTGGCTACTTTGTAGCCAAACAGACTCATGGCTGGGCCACAGACATTCTGCACCACCTGGGCCAACTTGAATGGGATGCTGAAGCGCCACTTCTCAAACTGTTCTGAGGAGTTTTTCTGGGTGGAGTAGATGCCACTGCTGTCCTGAGGTGCCTGCGTGTTCTTCAATATCCACTCCTCCACCTGTGGTGTGATGCTGATATCTGCAAACTTGTACATTTCTTTGGCCTTTTGGAGGGGGGACCGGGCAATGTCCTCATAGCGAATCAGCATGTAGCGGCCCCGCAGCCATGCAGGCTGCCTCAGGCCAAGTTCAGCTGAGAGACGGATATTCTCGCAGTTCCCTCGCAGTCGCTGCACCTCATCCTCATTGAGGGGAGCTGCTCCTTCTGAAGCCCATTTCTTCCAGGTCTCATACTTGCCCGAGAAGGCAACCATGCGTGAAGCCAGCACCGCCCGTGGGTCTCGCACCAGCTGGATGATCCTCATGTCTAGGCGAGGATCTTCAACCAATGGCTGTAAGAACTCCAGCTGCCGTATTCGCACAGCTTTGAGAGCCATGTGGTCCTTGCGTAGGCAGGCCTCCGCTGCAAGGGTCACATTCAGGGGGCCGCACTGACGGTTCTTGCAGTGGTACTTCTCAAAGACCTTCTTGACATAAGGGGTGCATACAGGCTCTTCGCACAATGAGCGGCTTGAGCCTCGCCGGAACATATACTGTGTCAGGTGATCCTCAGGGAGTGGGCTGATGAAGTTCTCCAGGATGTAGAGGTCACAGAGAAACAGCTGCTTCAAGACATCTCTGTAGACAAGGGCCGACCCCACAGCATTTGCACCACCAGGTTCAAAGGACACTGTCCTCTCGATGTGCCAGAGTGGCTCAAAGAGGTAGAAAATGTTGCCTTGTTGGTTGAAGAACTCGCCCACAAAGGAGGAGCCTGTGCGGGTGGTGGCCATGAGCAGTACATGTCTCCGGGGCCCCTTGGCAGGGGCCACAGCAGGCTCCCTGTTCCCTCCTAGCTGCAGGGTAACATTCAGAAGCCGGTTTCTGATCTGAGAGAAGGCAGAGTCCAGCTCACTGAGGGATAAGAGGGACCCATTTTCTGCTAGCACTAAGCCAGGGTCTGTGCTGTTTGCCTCCATCAGTGATTGTGGGGTTTGCTTCAGCTTGTCTGATACTCTGCAAAAAAAACAAAAGCATCAAAGCAAACATGGAAGCAGTGACTGAAATGACCAAGAGGGGCATTGTTTAGGCTTTCCCCTCTAAGTAGCTGAGGGTATGCCTTACTTTACCTCAGGCCTGAAGGATTCAGTAATTTTGTCCTATTCCTTTGTGCCCATTTGCCTATGTCACAAACCCAGCAGACGTTCACACAAGAATCATTCATACGCCTAGGAATTAGTAACTGGGTGTTGCAGGTGAAAATGGGTTGAGAGCCCTAAGAGAAGTCAGGATTCATAGATTCTAGGGTCAGAAGGGAGCTCAGTGGGCTATCTAGTCTGACCCCCTGCCCCTGGCAGGCAAGAAAAGGGTCACCAAACCTGGGGTCATGTGAACCCAGCCAGGTACCTGTCCAGTCTCCTCTTGAAGACCCCCAAGGATGGGGCGAGCACCACCTCCCTTGGAAGCCCATTCCAGATCCTGGCCACCCTGACCATGAAGAACTTTTTTTCTAATGTCCAGTCTAAACCTTCTCTCCAGTAGCTTATGGCCATTGTTTCTTGTTGTTCCAGGGGGTGCCCTGGTAAACAGAACATTGCCTACTTCATGTTGCTCTCCCCTTATGAATTTGTATGTTGCCGCGAGGTCCCCTCTCAGCCTTCCCTTGGAGAGGCTGAAGAGGTTAAGGTCCCTTAGCCTTTCCTCATAGGGCCTTCCCTGCAGGCCTCTGATCAGATGAGTGGCTCTTCTTTGAACCCTCTCCAGGTTGTCCGCATCCTGCTTGAACTGCAGCATCCAGAATTGGACACAGTACTCCAGCTGCGGCCTGACCAGTGCCGCATAGAAAGGGAAAATCACCTGTTTGTGAAGCACCTACAGATGCACAACAAGGTGTGATTGGCTCTGCCAACTACTTCATCACGTTGATGACTCACATTCATCCTGGAGTCAACAGTGACTCCAAGATATCTTTCTGCCTCAGTGGTGCTGAGAAGGTTGCCCCATAGCCTATAGGTATGATGGCAGTTCTTTCTCCCTAGAAAGAACTGCCTAGGATTCCTTTCTCCCTAGGATTGAAATAGCAATAGATGCTGTGGGTCAGGACTGAGAAGGATCTGCTTATGGCAGGGCTGTCTGGTTTCTAAGTGGTCATGGGCTGCGCTAGCAGGGGTTACACCAGTGGTCCATACACCCTCCAGGGACAAACACCATGTGCCCCTCCACTACATCGTATATCTCCCCACTGCACTGCAAGCCCCAAAATCCCCTTCTCCCCCCAGTGCACTGCACGCCCAGGTGCCCCACCTCACTTTAAGCTACCTGGCACCACAGGCCTTGGGCTCCCCCAGCCCTGTGAGCTATACCATGCTGCACTACCACATCCCTTCGGGTGTGGAAGGAAAAGCCAGAGGGAGGGGGAGCCCAGGAACCCCATCTGTTTCTTCAGCTAGAGCAAAGGG